CATGCGTTTAGAAATAGCCTTAACAAGGCTATCTAGAAGGATGGGGAAATCGAAAGTTTAGGCGATATTTCGACTAGGGTCAACTTGTGAGAAGTTGAAGGCAAACGGGTAAATGGAATTGAAGTAATTTTGCAATAGCTCTATTGGTAAGTCTTTCATGGTAAGGATGTAAATCTGAGAGTTTGAACAGGTGGCAATTCACATCCCCCTTCCGTTTGCCTTCAACATAATCCTCACAAATCAGGGCACTTGAAACACTTTTCGAACCAAAGAAGGCACTTCATTTTGCGTAAGTTTTAGTTTTTCATAAATCACCATGTCACAGTTGTGTGATCCATTCTCGGCAAGTTTTCTTCAACAAGGTATTCTTGAATTACTTTTATAGCAGGCATTGACGAAGCTCATTCAATTGCCGCAATCAGAATTTGTCGTCTCGAATTGCTTAGGCTGAAAGCAGTATTTTTTCGTAGCGATTATCAGACTGAGTCACCTACCTTATGCATGCAAATATTTTTAATCTTACATCCACAATCCTATGGCCTCCAATTTTGACTAATTGCATCACTTTCAAGTATGGAGCTCCGTTTGTGCCTGCATAAGTTACAGGTGTCAATTCATTTGTGAGAGTAAAATGCTTGTCAATCGAAAATAATTTATGCAATCCTGAAATTTTTAATGCTCTCTTCCGGGGAGTGTAGTTTTTTTAACACCATTGGATTTGTATTATCACCCTAGATATATCCAAACTCCTTAATTCATTCTCATTTTGCAATTGGTGTGCAAATTAAAGTCTATTTAGAGCATTTTTTTTTTGACATTTCACAATACTCCTGAAGGTGTCATCTTTTGCACTTTTCACCTTTCAAGTGCGCATGAATAAGCAAGCGACATTACAATATTCACCCATCAAATCTATTCCCAAAAGGGCAAATTAGTGAGGTGTTTGATAGCAGTGCTTACGGTGTGCGTTTTGTTTTCCTTCAGTGAGGTCTATTCTGAAGGTAAGTGGAAACGAAATTGAAACAAACAGTTTATTTTGAATGTCCTTAGTTTACAGTATCCCTATAGCAGTCAATGGAGTGTTAACACCGGCTTGGTTGTTCTAATTTTGCCTTAAAACCTCTGAATTGAGGATATTTGTGTGCTGGGCTTTCGATTTTGCCTAAAATCTATCGCCTGGGATGCTGATTTACTTATAAGATTGTGCTTAGACTGGAATCATGTGACACATGAGTAGTAGGTAGGGAGGAGTCGTTTTCATTTCATGACAAATAGAGTTATTGTGAGGGTATTTTTCGTTTTGGTGTTTGTTTCAAACATGATTAACATATTTAGTAGTGTAATAATGACCATTATCAAATCACATTGACTGCTGCTTTTCAAGTCCCTTTGGAATGACTAACTTCCATTAGGCACCTTTGAATGTCGAATGTTAAATTTGGGAAATTGGATGTTTCTCGACTTTTCATTTTAGTTCGTACAATTCCCTTATCTAAGAGGTATTTTCAAGGCTAGTCAAGTGGCAAAGACGTATTTGTCAGATGGATGCACAGTTGTAATGTTCTAAGAGTTTCCTTCACCACCAACGGGAGGAAAATGTTGTTTTGTTTTTAGCAAGGAAAGTGGGGTGTTGCCAAGCGACTTGTAGCCTCCTGCATTGTTCTTTAACAGCAAACCTATGGCAGCATATTTAAGACCTTACCAAATATTTCGCAAAGCATTTCAATGTTCCCTCACTTTGTAGCCCTGTCGCAACACTCCTCATCGTCGCAGCGCGTCAATGAGGCGATGGATACAGATGCTGACATCGTCACCAGTACCACAACGAGTAGACTCACTGACTTTGAACAATTCGACGAACGTGTCTGTGATGATCTAACACTGCGTGAAGAAGTTGATTATGACGGGGATGATGGAGGTGGTGGCAGTACTGCAGGTCAGGATGATCGCCAGGATTGGGAGAACCTTCATCAGACTAGCACCCGGAATCATCCGGAGTCGAGGGATGTGCTTGGGCCCATGTCCAACGCTAAGCAAGACTTGGTCCGACGCAATGGTGGTAGGCTTGAGTGCTCACTTCTCCTGCATTTCTATACACATAATCGAAAAAAGGAAGAACTAGAGATTTCAGTGGCATCGTTGCATCTTGTATGCATCGATAAACCTTTTAATTGGTGCAGATGCTTTGAGCGTTGCAGTTTCATGAGGATGTCTTAACATTAGCTACGAGAAGGGATGCAGGATGATGTGACACTTTTTATCCAAATTTTATTGGTTACATTCACTCATTATAAAGTTCAGTGAAATCTCCTAAACTAAAATGCTGCATTTTCCTTTCAAAACGTGGACTTTTTTGCATTTGCGTTTTTGTATATGGGTTGAACTCGTTCAATCAAGTCTCAATTCTGGTTCCAAGTAGAAGCAGAAAGCCTAGTCACTATGACCGAGGGTAGCCACTAAACACAGTTTTCCTATTTCATACTTATTTGGTTCCAAAATATGCAGGTATCGCTGTCCTAGGGTCTGGACAATCGTTTGCATTCATTGTTGTTTGCAAATTGGTTGAGTAAGAAAGGTAGTGTTTTCTATGCCTGCTTAGCGCGAGGTGCTTTGGCAAGCAACCAGTCAGGGCCATCGAACACGCCACTGACGACCAGCGGAATCAGTTCTCGCAAGTCGAATGTGGTGAAAGAGATTGAACGAATTCAACAGCGTCGGGAGGAGCGTAGAGCCGCTCAGCGGGCCGCTCGAGAACAGCCTGACGTCGATCCCAACAGTCCGAGCTACGAGTTCCTCATGATGATCAGGGAGTATCAGGAGACTCTAGACTACCGACCGCTCACCATAACCGATGAAATTGAATGCCATCAAATTTGTGTGTGTGTTCGCAAGCGTCCCATGAACAAGAAAGGTAATTTTTTTTTCTTTGTGCAGGTCGTCTTTCAATTTTTTTACCTTTTTGTGTATTTCTTGCTATGTTCTCTGCGTAGAGCTTGGGCGTAAGGAGATTGATGTCATTACCATACCCAACAAGCAGCAGATCCTTGTACATGAACCCAAAACCAAAGTCGACTTGACCAAGTACCTGGAGAACCAATCTTTCCGCTTTGACTATGCATTTGATGAGAATGCTGACAATGCACTGGTGAGTAAACTGTTAAATTGCACTTCTTCCTCCCTACTCCAAACTCCATAAGTGCCTCTCTGTTTGTCTAACTAGGTTTACAGATACACAGCACAACCGCTGGTGCAGAGTATATTCGAGCATGGAATGGCAACGTGTTTCGCTTATGGGCAGACAGGATCGGGTAAAACGCACACAATGGGCGGGGAATTCCATGGGAAGGGCTTACAGGACTGCTCCAATGGCATTTATGCACTGGCTGGTAAATTTGTTTTGCTCAAAATTAGCTCAAAGGCACAAACATTTCAGAACATGCCTTACTCATTGTAGCTGCAGGTTTCATTTTTACATCGACACTCACGGATGTGCGTCATATTGCATTCATCCCTTTCGGTGTGCTCATCACGGCAAACCTTCACAATAAATTCGTCTCTGCAAGTAGACTTTATCCCAAGCACTTGGCATAGCTCGCTTGAAATAAGGATTAGAGTCACTCATCGCCGTGTGGTCCCCCAGCAATCCGCAAATTCGTCCTCTATACCTTCCAATTATCAGAAACCTCTTGTTGATATGTCGGAGCGTTAATTAGCTACTGAATTGATTACTTTGCAGGTCGCATAGCTTGGAATTATGAATAGACATTAATACCTTTGAAATGCTGCAATTGCAAAGCTGTGGATAACTTGACATTCTTCGAACGGAGACTTCATTATGGGACCACATTAACGTTGAAGATGGATCAGAACTTATTTGTTGGGATGTTTATGATGGGATGAAGCCATCGTTCCTAACACCTTCTTCTTGCAGACATTTAATATTTCATCTTTCATTAAAGTGATTTTGTTGAAATAGGAGTGGTCTGAGGTCGAGAGATTCATATATTTTTTTTCGGAGCTGGACTAAAATGATTGGGTAAGGATATTTATGGCGCGCGCTTCCTTTCTCAAATGGCGCGCTGACGCCTTACTTGCTGCCTCCCCATTGGCTATCTGCTTGGACCCTCTGATTTGTCGGCAGTGTAAATGATCGTTAAGCTGATAAAGGCCGTGGCCTTCGCCTTCTCCTAGTTGAGTAATAGGCAGCTTCGTATTGTATCGCACCTAGCATTGTAACTACATCCCCCATTAGCTGTCCTATTGTCTTTGCGTTGCTATCACGCCTATCACCTCTTGTCTGCGATACACGCCTCTCGCATTCGTTGTTTGTGGAGTTACTTTTAGTTACCGTTTTTAAAAAACCTCTATCAATTTGAGGTGCACATTTTAAAGCGCCAATGGCTCCAGTTTAGTTTTGAAGACTAAAACTTTACCTGTTAATGTATTGCTACTTTTGTTAAATCAGAAAAGGCTCTTATGGCCAAAGGAGGCTAAAAAAGAGTTGTACTAATTTGGTAGCTTACTCCATTCTTCTTTATCGAAGTGAATCGTTGATGCGTCAGCATTTGTTGTTTACGCACTTAGTTTTCCGCCCACACTTCATAATGGGAATAATATTCGACTTCTTGTACATCGAGTCAGTAAAAAATGGGTTTTGTCTGATGCAATAGGCAAACGCTACTTAAT